AAGGCTCACCCCTCAAGGGTCCCCAGCTCCTGGATCCGAGGACGTTGCTGGGAACGGATGTTCTGCTGCGAGATGGAGCCCAGGAAAGGCCGGTACTTCAGCATGCGCCATTCTGAGGGTTGCAGAGGGGGAGGTCGCTGAAGTGGGGTTCCCTCAGGCGGTGCCTCCCAGTCCACAGAGGCTAGGCCACCTTGCAATCTTGACTTTAGGAGGTCCTAACTACCTTAGCCCCACCCTTCCTGAGGAACACACCTAGACACCACCACCACACCCACCCCCCACCCCCAGCAGACTCCTGACCCCGCCCCTTCTCAGCCCCACCTGAGAAGCTGGTGGAGGAAATCGCTGGCACACTGGACTCACCTCTCCTGGTGTGCCATCCAGGCCGTTCCCACTGCCCTCTGGCCTCTCACCTGGGTTTAGCTTTAAACCATACTTGTCCTCAAGGCCCTCCTTGGCAATGGTGACCACCAGCTCCCGCAAGAAATCGCTGTTCTAAGGTGAGACAAACAAGAGACAGGATGGTGGGACAGGGTTGGGGGAAGCACCCTCCCGGGCCTTGTCCATTACATGCACCCCACCTGAATCCTCAGGTAGAAGTTGCTGTTGATGGCAACATCATAGGCAGTACAGCCCTGGCCTTCTGTGGAAAGAAAGAAGGAACGAGGACTCTAACACCCATAAGGAGAACTTACCCAAGGACCAGACCCAAGACACGGGAAGTGAGACCAGCACACACTACTTCCCAGGCAACTCAGACCAGGTCCTTCTTGGCTTCCAGGCTCAACTCCAGGTTGATGCCCATATCCCCAAGACAGACCCTGATCCTCTCCAGTGGCCCCAAGAACCACCTCCCTCTATCCTGCCCACCTCTAGAAAAGCTCATGTCTGCTCTAGAGAACCCTGACTGTCCACACTTCCAGTCTCTCCTAATTGTTGCCCGTCAGTCTAATCACTGTATCCCCAGGCATGGCCCTTGTCAATTTTCCATGTAGCTCAGCGTGGCCTCTAGCTTTCAACAATTCTGCCTCAGCATCCTAAGAGCCAATACTATAAGAGTGAGCCACCATGCCCAGCTTACTAGTTGTCTCTGCTTAAGACCCTCTTCAAATCTTTCCTGAGACAGGTTTCTCTGTCTGCCCTACTGTCCTGGAACTTGCTCTGTAGACCAGGCTGACCTCGAACTCACAGAGATCTGTCTGCCTGTGCTACCTAGTGCTGGGATAAAGGCGTGCACCACCACTGCCCAGTTAACTCTTCAAATCTTATATCAGACTAGTATTGTTCCAGGCAGCCTTCTCTGAAGGCTCCTTAACCTCAGTGAAGAGCCCCAGGGCATGTTCCCTGCAGCCCTGGGTCAATCCGCTCTGGTTCCCAACCCTGACTGGAAGCTCCTGAGAATCGCAGGATCGTGAGGGAAGAGACTCGGCGTCTTCTAAGGGTACTGACTTGCATCCAGCTCAGCATGTGGCTCTCCCAGGCTCATGGGGATTCGGAAGCCAGCTTGGTCCTCCTCCAGCATCTGAAGCAGCTCGTCCTCAGTCACGTCCACCGGGGGAGGGATGGAGGGAGAGTGGCAGATGTTGATGAAAACCTTTCCTTCCGAGGAGTTGGTCTTTACGCAGAAACCTGCACAAGTGGGCTTATCTCGGCCATCTGTCCCTAGGCAGTCTCCTTCTCACCCCCACACTCACCCTCTCCCTTTTTTGAGACAAGGTCTCTCACTCTGTACCGAGGCTGGCCCAGACTTGGGATACTCCTGCCTCCTGAGATTACACGCCCTCACCACCACACCCAGTTCTCCATTTTAATTTTTATTACATGCACTTATTTTGTGTGTGTATATGTGTGGGTGTGTGCACGCATGTGCATTCATGCCGTAGCTGTTGTGTGATGTCAGAGAACAACATTCAGGAGTCAGTTGTTTCAGGGCACCAGGCTGAGTGCAAGGCCCTTGACTTGCTCAGCCACCTTGCTGGCCTTCCTTTCACTCTCTGGCTCTGTCTTCTTTGTTCCCCTCTGCCTCCCTCAGGCCCCTGACATTTTCTACTTTCTTTCTCCATCCCACCTCCCATTCTGCTGTCTGTGGTCCAGTATTTGTGATCCTCCTGCCTGTGCATTCACATAACTACTTCTAGGCCTTTGTATGCAGTTATGATCTCTTTACTTCATCCTGTGTCCCCTGCTCCTAGTTTCTACTGACCTCTCTCAGGGTCTCCCATCCTTGCTCTGGGATACTCTACATCTCTCTCTCTATGTGTACACACACACAGACACATACAAACACATATACATACATGTGTATATACATCTATAAGTATAAAAACATTCACATATATGTTCCTATATATCTATATCTATTTCTCACCAGGCTGGGGCCGGATCTGTGTAGATTCTGACCTGTCCGCCTGGGCTTGCTGGAGCTCTTTGGAAGCCTGTGAGGGAAAAAAAAAGCAACCCTCCATGATACTTCTGTCCTGTCAAAACCCTCATGTGTTTCCCAAATGTTTATCTATGATGGCTAGGAGCACCTCATCTGTGATGGCTAGGAGCACAGGTTTTTTACTAATATTATATTATTTTTTTGTTTTTTGAATCAGGGTTTCTCTGTGTAGCCCTGGTTGTTCTGGAACTCACTCTGTAGACCAGGCTGTTCTCGAACTCATAGATATCTGTCTGCCTGTGTATCCCCAGTGCAGGAATTAAAGGCGTGCAGCACCACCACCCGGCTCACTTGTTATATTATACAGTCTAGGCTCCCTTTTCTTTTTACAGGACTCCCAAGATCATCCCAACTTCATTTCTTTTAAAGTCTAGTAAAGTTTGAGCTAAACAACTACATTTCCCATAGGCCTCCTTGCTATCGCAAGGCATTCTGGGAACTGATGCACCATCTCTGAGCGCCAGTGTATAAATATTTAAACACCCAGATTCCCAAAAGTCCAGTCAGGCCGCACCTGCAGTAGCAGCTCCTGAAACCGCACGGTCTCATCACCCATCGACTCTGCATCGCTTAGCTCTGGTGCCAGAAGCTTCGACTCCGCCATGGCCCTGGAAAAAAGTCCTAGGCGTTCAAAACGTTGAGAACTTTTCCCGGACAAACGAAGCCAGTTTATTGCAGGCCCTCGGTCGATTCTTAACACACCGCACTCTACCCAGAACTCGAAGATCTGTGCTGGTAATGGTCTACGGTTCCATGCGATGAAGGCACTGTCCTCAGTGTGTTGGGTCTCTTGATCGGTCCTGTTTGGCCGATGCGTAAATGAAAGACATACTTCCGGCCTCTGTAACCAAGGAACTTAAGCAGCCACCCTTCCGACAACAAAAAGCCCTATCATTCAAGCAGGCTCCGCGCCGACCATTTGTATTAGAAAACTGAAGTCACGCCCCCTTAACCAGCCAATCAAAAGTAAGGCCTGAGGCGGCCTGTGAAAAGATATACTTCCTGAATCAATAAAACCTACATTTCCACCCTTCGCTAACAACTGCGGGCGGTTCAGTGCAGAAAAAGGACTGTCACTCTGAAAATTTAGTATCTCTGTATGTGGCTCTTGTCTATCATGCGTTAGGCTCTGGGTCCGATCCCACCCAACACACACACCCTTAATTTCAATACTATTAACTACCCTTTTTAAGCAAAATGAAGATTTTTATTTATAAAAAAAATTCATGGGGAGGAGAAGCTGGAGAGATGATTCAGTGTTTGAGAGTCTACTGGTTTTCCGAAAGACCAGAGTTTGATTCCAAACACCCACATGGTGACTCCAGGTCTAGGGGATCGAACGCCCTCTTCTGGCCTCCTGGGGGTACTCCATGTATGTGATACACAAGACCTGCAGGCAGGCAAAATACCCATGCACGTAAAAAAAAAAAAAAAGCAAATCTTTGCTTACTTTAAAGAAAATATTAGTGCTGGAGAGATAACTCAGTGGTTAAGAACACATGTTGCTTTCGGAAAGGACAAGTTCAGCTCCTAACATACACATGGTGGTTCACAACAGCCTATAACTCCGGCCCCAGTGGGTTTTCGAAACAGGATTCACTGTGTAGCCCTGGCTGTCCTGGAACTCGCTCTGTAGACCAGGCTGGCCTCGAACCCAGGGATCCGCCAGTCTGTGTCTCCCAAGTGCTGGGTCAAAGGCCTGCGCTGCCACTGCCCAGCGACTCCTGTCCTTTCAAGGACACCCAGGGCTACACAGAGAAACCTATCTCTAAAAACAAACAAATAAAAGAATTGCTTTTCAGCTATCCCTAAGACCCAGTGACAGCTCTTGTTCCCTAGTGGACTCTTGTTCCCTAGAGGACCATCTGCCTCCAGTTATTTCCTTCTAGCCCCACCTCCAATTATTTTTTTAAGGTGGGAAAACATCAAGAACATTTTTCTTTTCTGCCGGGTTCGGCGGCGCCTGCTGTTAATCCCAGCACTCAGGAGGCAGAGCTAGGCAGATCTTTTTGAATTTAAGGCAGTCTGTTCTACATAGTAAATTCCAGGACAGCCAGAGCTACACAGTGAGACGCTGTCTCAACAAAACAAAACAAGTTTTTTCTTTTTCTTTTCTCTTTTTCTTGGTTTTTCGAGACAGGGTTTCTCTGTAGTTTTGGAGCCTGTCCTGGAACTCACAGTGTAGACCTGGCTGGCCTCGAACCCACAGAGTTCCACCTGCCTCTGCCTCCCGAGTGCTGGGATTAATGGTGTGCGCCACCACCGTCCGGCCAATTTATTTTTTCTAAAGAGTCAAAATGACAATATGCTGTCCTTCCAAAGCTGGAGCACTTCTGTTAACGCGGAGACCGCCGCCCAGCCCACGTTGCTGTTACCCACGAAACTACATTTCCCAGCGTCCGACTACGGGAGCCATGGTGTGGCTCTAAAGGGGTGGGACACGCCCTAGAGCTCGCGCCCCGCCCTAGCCTGTGGGCCCCGCCCCTTTATTGGAGTGGGCGGTGCCGCCCTTCGGACCTCCACGTTCCCAAGGTCCGTCGCCAGGCAGTCCTTCGCGGAAGGCTTTCGGCGAGCGATGGCGGCAACGCGTGTCCGACCCTGCGCCCGCGAGATTTTCACGACACTGGAGTACGGACCGGTGCCGGAGAGCCACGCATGCGCACTGGTGAGAGCTTGCCCGGCGGCGGCCGTCTACTCCCTAGCTCAGGCTCACGGGCCGCATTTGGCGCGCGGAATCCCGTCGTCCTCTGCGGCATTCTCGGAAGCTCCGCCCCCCACCTCGCGTTCTTCCCGCCGCGGGTCTCGTGGACGGGCTTGCATGCCGCATGCCGCTGTGGCGTTTCCTCCGAACCCTTGGCGGGGGGGTCACTACGGCCCGGTATCTCGCGCGGTGAGACCTCACACCTTCCCTCACCGTGGTTCCTTGGAGACTCACGGGAACGCTCAGAACCCCAAGTTCGTTAGAACTTCCTGTGAACGCCTGCCTCTATCAGAATATCCTTACGTTACTCCGTGAACTCCCAATCACCCTTCAGTTTAGTGGGTTTCTTTTAGAGATTTTCATATTCATAATCCTTAAGAACCTCATGATACTGGACTTCTTAGGGCTCTTCAGGGTCTTCCAGAACCCACTTGGCTTCCTGGTGGAATTAAGTAGGGTGCCTGGGATTTTTTTTGCTCCTGGTCCCACAAATTTTTCCAGCGTCCAGGCAGGTAGATGGATATTAAGGAGGTTGGAGAGATAACCATCACTAACAGATGGGCTCCAGCTTTGGAAGGACTGCATTATAACACTCAGGTTTAAGAAGAGTGTTAATCCCAAAGATTAGAGGAGAAAGACCACCGACCTAAATCATCATGGCAAAATTAATTAAAGCAAGCTTTTTTATTTCTATCCTAAGGCAGGGTTCAAGAGGCCAGCCTTGGATGTGAGGAAGATAAGGTTTTTATATTTTAGATTTCCAAATGAAGAATTCGGAAGGCAACATAGTCTTTGAGGTTTCAGGAGCAGAACATAAACTCAGCAGATTAGTCAGAAGGACCTTGCTGAGACAGACAGGACTGCAAGGAGGTTGTAACAAGGTAGTCCTAACCTCTTGAAACGAAGACAGTCTTGTAAGATGGCTACAACTTTTTGAAACAAAGGCATGGTTGCCGGTTCCTGTAGCAGGCAGTACAGAACTATTTGTAGTTAATTTAAGGTTCCAGGTTGGGCATAGCCCAATCCCTGAGAAACAGGTTTACTCGAAAATAGGAATGAATGAGCCAGCCTTTACTGTAGGATGGTTCCAAGCCTAAGATTGAGGCAGGCTGCTTCATGACGAGGTGCAGGGAGGTGACACCAAGTGCTGGTTAAGAGGGCAGTAGCCTAACTCTGATAGCTGGCTTTAGGGCTGGTCAGCCATTCCTGCATGGAGAGTCCAGGATGGGACAGACACGGAGCTCTGGCAACAGGGAGATCGACTCTGTCACAGGAGTCTAGTGTTGTGACGTGGAGACCGACTCTGTCCCGAGGAGTCTAGTATTGTGATGTGATCAATCGACTCTGTCACAGGAGTCTAGTGTTGTGATGTGGTGATCAATCGACTCTGTCCCGAGGAGTCTAGTGTTGTGACGTGGAGACCGACTGTCACAGGAGTGTAGTGTTGGTGACGTGGAAACCGACTCTGTCACGAGGGAGAGCCTAGTGTTGGTGATGTGGAGACCCACTCTGTCACCAGGAGTCTAGTGTTGGTCACGTGGAGGCCCTCTGTCACAGGGGGAGTCTAGTGTTGTGATGTGGAGACCGACTCTGTCACGAGGAGTCTAGTGTTGTGATGTGGAGA